CTTGAATATAAGGAGGCTGGAAGAGTTTGACTATGCATTCAATCAGGTCCAGCCTTCTCCGGATTTCACCGCCTGTACGCTTTGTCACCTAGCAACCATGACAGTTGACACACAAAGCAGGCAAAGAACGGATGTTGAACTTCTCACTACTACTTTTCACGATCGTGCTCTGGTACGGATTGGGTCCTGACCTGATGTTCATGTTAAAATAAAATGATTTAGGCCATTTAGGAATAAGGGGAGTGGTGGCGTAGTGCTCAGGGCTAAGGCATTGGAATCCTGAGGTTGTGAGTTTAAACCCACTCCCACAGCCTGCCACTCTGGCTCTCTGCGCAAGACCCCTAACCCCAGATTGCTCCCCAGGCGCCGCACAATGGCAGCCCACTGCTCCCCAAGAGGATGGGGAGGGAAATTTCTCCAATGTGGGATCAATAAAGTTCAATTATTGTTATGAATGCAGATATATGAAAATGACCTGTAGACCTAAAGGCTGCTGTTCGCCATCGCCATCTGCTGGCGATACTCGCTCACGCATCCAGCAACCTGCAGCTCCAGTGAACGTCACAGTTCACCTTCTTTTCAGAGCTCTACTGCCATGTCTGCTAGATAACATTTCACACTTGATCTTCTAGTTTTCCTCCTTCTTTCACGCCTGTGCTGAGTGTTACTCCTGTAAATACTTAAAAATGTTATTAACCAATAAATGGAACAAGAACAAAAAGAAAGCACAGGAATAATATAGATAAGCCAGAAGGGTGCCATCATTTAATCTTTGTTTGCAACCAGCGGGAGCAGCTGACATAGAAATGTGTAATGATAGAATGTGACTAGGCTAAGTTCCGCTAGCATGCTAATCCATGCATGCAGAACCTGCAACAATGAACGGTGGACTAAAGAGTTCGAGTTCAACAATGAATGATGTCCGATTATAAAATAATATTTAGATTCATAAAGAAAATGGAAATTTTTCGTTTGTTCTGTCTATAAATGTATATCTATGGGGCATATTTGTTGCTCACAACCATAGTTTTAAAACAACATTTAACTTCAGTTTGAAACATTTCATATTTTATAAGGAAGCTTTTAGTTTGGATTTTTAAATAATTTGAACCTTGATAGTGAAGACTTGTTGACCATCTGAATCCCAACAGAACGTCCACCTGATCCCGCATCTCAAAAGAGCGAAAATGTGGAAAAAAGAAAGAAAAACTGAGCTGAATGATGACAGGTCTGTCAGTTCTCACACATCAATCAGGCAGCAGGAGACAGAGGGACTGAGCTGCCANGAAAAACTGAGCTGAATGATGACAGGTCTGTCAGTTCTCACACATCAATCAGGCAGCAGGAGACAGAGGGACTGAGCTGCCACCATCACAGAAGCTTCATCCAGGCGCGCTGAGCGTGAGCGTCAGGGTGGGGAGACAGTCGCACCACATGCATGCAGGGAGACGTGATGCTAGGCACCAACGAAGAAGAAGCAGGATGGTCCCAGTTAGTTCATGTGGAATCAGATAAATAAAGCAAACTGTCGGAGCAGAAAAGCATGCAGCAGTGAGTAAGCTGTCTTTTTTCCAGGCGTAGCTGGGTGGCTGATGTCTGCATGCATCATCCAGCTGTCTGTCATTATGTTAAAGAGCCGTCTCTAGCAGCATCAGCATCTTCTTTTGCACGCATTCACGCATGCACATGACGCTCTGCAGCCATGCAAGGAGTACGAAGCAGAGGGGCTACTCTGAGGATGATGATGATGGTGAGGTAGCTGCAGGATAATAAAACTAATGACATAAACTGCAAAACAGAAGAGTGACATCACAGAGAGCTCAGAGGAGGGTTATTGATCAGATTATTAGAAGAAGAAGGTGATTGGTTGAAAGGTGCAGCCAGGGCACCACGCCCGTCACATAGAGGCAGCCAGGTCATGCTGAATCAGAGCAGCGCTGCTCCCTCCACACACACACACACACCCGGTAGGGCAGCTTTCATCAATACATGTTAAGGTGGATTATGGTGGGAACATTCCTGTGCTGTGGTGGTTTGCTCCATGCATCCATCCCTCAAACCAAAACGAGAAGCAAAACAAAGAAGCAGCATGAGCTAAAAACAAAGACAGACCATTCAGTGCAGACAGGCAGAGCCTTACATAGAGACCAGGCTCC